TTCTTTGTTTTCAGTCCCCTTCCCGGTCGCAGACCGGAGTGGTAATTGTCTGTCCCTCTAATCCGCTACCTACATACCTCCCAACTGCGTTGCTTCCCCCCGCCACCTCCCCAGATTCACGCATTACACTCGCGATAGCACAATGCGATGCATGAGCTCCGTAAATAATGTCATAACATCGCCGGCATATCGACAGAAAAAGAGAAAACGAAATAAAGGAAATAAAATAACATCCAAGAAACGACCACCGGCAGCGTCTTCCATTTTCTAAAAGGGAATACGTGAAAGACGCGACGCCCGCCAGCCCACCAAACCAACGACCAACCACAGGTAGCCACAAATTAAGGACTAAAGGGTTGCTTCTCTGTCCGTCGTAGAAATTGAAAAGAATTTTGTACACACCCCTTCCGGTAGTAGAACACAAGGAACATGGCTCAGCTCGGGAGCTTGGAGCGGCGCCGTGAAGGTCGGGGTGGCACTAGGTCATGCCGACTGAGGTGAGTTTAGGCGCCCCCAGCTTGCCGGCATGCTGCTTCTTGCTGGTTGCAGGCGGCAATGGTCTGGCCCGGAGCTTGCCCACCGTTGACGGCGTCGGCACAGGCGTTGTTCTGGATGGCGCAGGCGCGCTGAACGGCAGCGCCCTTGGTGGCGAAGGTGTTGCCATTGACACGGAACGGGCGTTGGGCATCGCCGGTGTCCTCAACCGCGGGAGCTGCGCCGCCGATAGCATTGGCGTTCTGGCCACCCCTGCCGCCGTTGCCGCCCTGGCCTTGACCACCGTTGCCGCCCTGGCCCTGACCGCCGTTGATGTTGTTACCGCCCTGGCCTTGACCACCATTGTTGTTGTTACCGCCCTGGCCTTGACCGCCATTGTTGTTGTTACCGCCTTGGCCTTGACCACCGTTACCGCCTTGGCCACCCTGACCTTGACCGGCGTTGTTGCCCTGGCCCTGACCAGCGTTGTTGCCCTGACCTTGACCGGCGTTGTTCCCGCCGTTGCCGCCCTGGCCCTGGCCGCCGTTGTTCTGGCCGTTGTTGCCACCGTTGTTGCCGCCGTTGTTCTGACCGTTGTTGCCGCCGTTGTTCTGACCGTTGTTGCCGCCGTTGTTCTGACCGTTGTTGCCGCCGTTGTTCTGACCGTTGTTGCCGCCGTTGTTCTGGCCATTGTTACCACCGTTGTTGCCACCGTTGTTGCCGCCGTTGTTCTGGCCATTGTTACCACCGTTGTTGCCGCCATTGTTGCCGCCGTTGTTGCCGCCGCCATTGCCGCAGGCACCGCCGATGCTAAAGTAACGGCAATCCTCTTGCGAGCCACGTTGGGCGACAGGCATCAGCACAGGCTGGTGGTTGGAGGCGCTGGACATGGTGCAGACACGGTAGCAGCCGGTCGGCAGACCGCCAGTCACTTCGGCAGTCAAACGACCCTGGCCGTTTCCGGCGTCATTGATGCCTTTGAAGAAGGCAAACTGCTTGGCGTCGAGAGGCTGGGTAGGGTTCATGGTGTTGCCGGTGTCCTGGACAGTGACGTGGGTGTGGCCGATGATCTGGCCCTGTCCGTTGAGGTCCTGAGGAGCCGAATAGTAGGTGCTTGCGGCGTTGGTGAATGCACCCAGCTGCATGTTGGCAAGGTTGACCTCAATTTCGAAGGTGGTTAGCGGCTGGAGGTCGTCACCGTTCTTGGGGTTGACAATGACCGCCGAGACCATTCTATCCACGGAGGGAATCTTGCCCATGGCTGCTCAAGGGTTAGCGGGTGGACTACCTTTCCCTAGGATGATATATACGTACGGATACCGTTGCAGGAACCATCGCGGTTCTGCAGGCCGTTGGTCAAGGTCTCGCCGGAACAGAAGTTGATGAAGTTGGCTTCGTCACTAATTGAGATGTTAGCATCGGAAACACTAATACACCGAAGGAGGGTCATCATACGTGGCGGAGTTGACCTGACCATCGGCGACGTCGCCACCATCCTGGCCGGTTGATGCCGAGCCGGTCTGAACGGCGTTCGCAGCCAGGCAGGTGTTGGAGGCACCATTGTTGCCGCCGTTGTTTCCTCCGTTGTTGCCACCGTTGTTGCCGCCGTTGTTGCCGCCGTTGTTCTGACCATTGTTGCCTCCGTTGTTACCGCCATTGTTGCCGCCGTTGTTGCCGCCACGGAACCGGCCACCCCTGTTCTGTCGCCGTTCCAGAGCAATGGGAGATCTGTAGTGGTGGACAGTTGCCGCCTCGGCAACCATGGCCAGACCCAAAAGGGTCGTCACAGCTGTTTTCATCAACATGGTGGGTGATTTTTTAAAAGGTGTCGATGGGTCGTCGGGGAAGAATTGAGCTCCGCGGGAGCCGAAAGTCGAATTCGAGGAGAGAAGATGGTTCCAGACCGTCAAGAAGCAAAAGGGAGTTTAAAAAAAGGAGTGGTGTGCGACAGCTGGTGCCGACGAATTGGGATATGTACAAGGTAAGGTACAGGTACAACCCGCGTCCGAAGAAAGGAACGAATGGAAGGATGGAAAGAAAAGAAGAGGGACGAGAGAAACAACTACCACCGCACAAAGTGAGAATGGGACATGATCTAGGAAGAAAGACCAAGACAGGGTCTCGAGGCCCGCGCGGGGTGTTATAAGAGATGAGCCACGAAGACGGGAGCAGGGAAGGTGCTGCGACGACGATCCGACGAGAACGCCAAGCCAGTGTTTCTCATGACCCTGGCAAGCCAAGCGGTTTCGAGCACTTCCGGAGTGCGCCCCCAGGCATTCCCAGCAAGGGTTACCGCCCAGCTTTCTGCGACTCTGCGACCAGGAACGTTGACAGATCCCGGGCAGTGCGGCAGGAGGCCCGGAGAAAGAGAAAAGTGTGTGCGGCCCCACGGGTCTCAAACGCGGAGCAGGGGCCCGGTGATGCAGAACGGGGCAGTGGGAGGTGGGAATGTCGACATAGTCTGACAGACAGCGGAACAGAGGGGGATTGGAGATGCAACCCCCAAGGCCTGTCCCTTGCAGAAGTCAAAATTCGAAATCCGAAATCCCACATCAAACTTTTTTTTTTTAGTTGGGATGGCAAGGACCCTGGAACACTCCTACGGGGTAGAGACGAGACGAAAAAGGAAAGCGTGCCTTGCAGCTGAGATCTGAGATCAGGCACCAGGTACTGCAAGACATCAGAGGAAACCACGGCCTGCTGAACGGGTCAGCTTGCCTACAAGTGCCTCCTTCCTCAAGTTCCAATTTTTCGCGAGCAGCGAGCCAGGGCTCAAGTGGCCAACCCTGCCCCGTTACTGACACACACACATTTGATGGCCGATTCAGTGCCCTGAAAGAAGGCAAAAGCGCCTTGTGTCGTTGTCGTGCAAAGTTCTCAACTGCAACTCCATCAAGGCGCGCGCAACGGCTGCCCCAGGGCTGGGATGCTGGGCTGAAGTTGAGGCGGCCTGTGTGCCAGATGCCCATGACTGGATGGTTGGGCCCTTGCTCGTCTGAACTTTAAGCCAATCAGGAATGCCGGCTTGAGGGCGATCGGGCAGCTTGTGTCTCGGGATCGATGGGATGAAGCGCAAGCGAGCGAACATTGACTCCGCTCCTGTTGTGGGGTCATTCCCCACTTGCCCATTCAAGCGCTTCTCGACCCCGTGGTGGCACTTGGCTGGCCAGGAACTTCCCTCCACACAACCGCCCCTCTATGACAGCCGCCCGCCGGCTCCTGTGGCGGCGGGTGTCGGCAAACCTCCAAAATTACACCCAACAGGTTAGGATCTTCACCGTCGCCGTCCGCGCATTGGCATCGTTTGCCGTCCGCTGTATCAGGACGCATCTTGTGCTTGGCGGCCGGGAATAGCGGCAATTTTACGGCCATGTCCAGCTTCGCCTGTTCATATCCGTCTCTCGTCGGCCATCCTCTCACCCTCTGGAGCAGCTCACGCTGAAGCCGGTAGATCGCCGGACCAAGATGCGGGCCGGGTGGCCACCGCCCCTCAGGCTCACCATGTTAAGGAAACAACCCATCCCTTGAGGCAGCTTTAACACGAGGGCTGGAGACACGGCCAAAGGCCCGTGGCCGTTGAATCGCCTATAGGGACCCACATTGATTGAAAATACCTTCACGAGGCATGGTATTTCCCTCGGGCGAACAAAATAAACTTTGAAACCCTCGGACCCAAATGTTCTTGTCTGCCCCCTGTCTAGCCGCACGCTTGCAGCTTTCGACGTTGCTTCCTCCTCACGGAGACGTCACGGTCCCCTGCTTCTTGTCAGGGTACTGCGTCTGGGGTTCCCACGAGCCAGGTCCAGCGGGGGCGAAAGGGTCCCGCCGACAAACCCGAGCCTCCAAAACTTAGTCTGAACTTCAATCCTAACGCAACCTCACCGAAACGGCCATCTCTTCATAGGGCTTGCCGAGCCTCCTCGTTTCGTTACGGTGAGCATGCTTTCTAGGCTGGGCCGGCAATATGATGCCGCGGACAACCATGGAGATGAGATTACGGGCTGGCATTCGAGGTGGCGGCCGACGAGAGACCGCCGTTGCCCTGCTTGATGTTTCGGTCTCATGTGCTCAGGTTGTCCGACCGTTTGGCCTAGGGGATCTTGTTCCCGGACCAAACTCCACGATGAACGGCGCTTGGGTTGAGATGGAACATATGGCTGGTTCAATTTTTTTTAGGCTTTTGCTACAGCTTTGAGTAGAAAAACCGTTCCAGGATCGAAATATAAAGTTGAATGTCAGGTGCACTGGAAGCCCATTACCTGCGCGGCTGGATGCTAGGTAGAGAGAATAAACAACAACACCTCGCGCACAATCAGCAAATGCATTCCATAGGGAATCAAATCACACACAATTTACACAGCATCGCTATGTTTCGAAATGTGGAAATTTTGATTACACAACAAGCAGCAGCCTAACTCTGGGCCTCGTAACAGTAGCGCAACCGCGGGCGGCAAAATCATGAAGCGGACCCCTGCGCATCTTGAGACACAACCAGAGAACATATCGCCCCCCCGGGCTCCCCTCTTATCTCCCCCTCTCTCACTCGAGAATCTGCTCGGATTTTTGAAACAGTGCAACAGTTGCACCTCTTTGTCGAAACTAACCCTTCATTTCTACCACACACAGCTGAATCGTTGAGGAATCACAACGCCACCTTGGTCGGCTCTGTCGGCATTTCTCGGATGGCGACTGCGTGGGTGTCCGAGTCGGTGGCCAAGGTGGCTGACATGGCGCACAAGACGCTTGACTCTTGCCTACCCTCCCGATGTCGCAAGTCCACATGACTAGAGATCGACGGAACGAAGCAAGAGACACCTCGAAATGCTCGGCGCGAACTAATGCCGCCATCGGAGCTTGGCGTCCCATCACGATCGCTGGTGTCGACGGGAAGATCACACAGAGGGCGTTTTCCTCCTCGCACCGGGACGGGGGGACATCGTTTCTTATCGCCGGCCGGATTTCAGGTGCGGACTATCAACGATGATCACTTCTGGAAGGGTATTATTTGACGACGTGAACCGCCTCAAGGGCTTAAGATGCGCATCCGTTCCAACTACCGTCCCGCGGAGAGGGATCGGCTCCCATCGAGCCATCTTAGGATCCTCAACGCCGCCTCGGCAGAACAATTAATGAATGGTGTTAAAGATCGTCTGATAATGACTCGGTCTTGAGGCTCGTGACGATCAGGTCCAGCCATGCAGCCAAGCGGTATCCCGCCCTCGCCACCTGCACCTCAATCACCGGGGCCGCCGCCTCGTAGTAGTCCGATCCCAGCTCCTGGCCACGGATGGCATCCGGGCCCTCAGGCAACACTAAACTGGTGTTAGAATAAACATTTCCTCACAACAGACGAACACCACGCTCGGTCCGTCCGTCCGTCGATAGGGCACCACACTCACCAGTCGTGCAGACATAAGCATTCGCCTCCTCAGCCCAGGCCATCGCCGTCGCCACCGGATCCGACAAATTCGCCGACCTCAACCAGTTGATGCGCTCCGACGCAAACTTGCCCTCGTTAATCTCGCGGGCGAGCGCCTCCGCCCAGCGCTTCGCCTCGGAGTAGGGCCCGCGGCGGCGCACACCGCCCACCAGCTTCTCGGCGATGCTCGAGTCCCACACATGGTGCAGATTGTACCGACGGCCATCAAACAACACATCAATACCATTCCCGCCGCGCTCCACATTCTCCGTGTGCAGCGGCTGGTGGATGTCGCCGACAAAATGCACGACAAACTTGGCGGCCTGGGCGCGCTGCCAGGCGGGCAGCGCGCCCTCGGCGTCGAGCAGGCGCGTGGTGTAGTTGTGCAGGGCGGAGACGACGCAGCCGCGGTCCTTTTTGCAGTCGCGCGCAAAGTCGACGCCGCAGTACCGCGGCGGGTCGTCCTTGGCGTCGATGAAGTGGAAGTCGGAGGTGAAGCGGCCCCATTTGGTGTAGCGGATCGAGTCGGCCCAGGTCGCCACGCCGGCGAGGTACTCGGCCGTGTCGTTGCGTAGCAGGGTTTGCAGGTAGGTGGTGGTGGCGGGCGAGACGAAAGCGCTGGCGAGGTAGCCGACTGTGATGTGTCCGAAGCCTGCGGTTGCGCGTGCGTGGTTAGATGCTTGTCTTTGGTTGTTTAAACGGTTGGACGAGAGGGTAGAGGTTCTGGTGGTTTCGTACCGCCCCAGGCCGCCGCGCTCGGCACAGCAGCCACCGTAGTGGCGATTGTCGAGAGTTTCATCTTAGGTAGGCGACGGAAAGGTGATGTGATACGGGTTATCTGGTTGGGACACAGAGATTATGACGCAAAATATGAATATATGCAGCAGAAAAACACAGGAAGAGACAATGAGTTGAAACGATCACAAGCACAACGTCAACACAGCATGTGGTTTCCAGCTAATCATGGCCAGCTGCACAGGCGCAGGGCCAGAGCAAGGATGCTCCCGGGTGACCGACATCAAGCGCCCGGGTGGTTGGTCAGTGAACGGAATCCATGTGCTGGGGTTCTCGTCTCTGACTGGCTGACTGGCTCCTTATCCACACGTGATCTCGTGAGGCCGACGCGCTATTTGGTGCTTGGCGTGGCAAAGTCACCAATCGATGTGACGCGATGCGACGGGGAAAGAAGGAAAGAGGGCAGAGGTTGAGTTGGTCGATCTTCCATTAATATGTATAATAACGCCGTATTGACCTCGCCGAGGGGGAAATTACGAGACTACCTTTTCGAACGGCTCACAAGCTACCTAGGGATCGTTCAAACTTGCCGAACAAGTTCCAGACCAAGGCTCGGAGAATTGGCCGTGGCGTTTTCGAAGGCGTGGCAGGGCGTGGTGTGAAATTTATAGCAACCACAGTCCTCTTGAATCTTGATAAGCCGATTGAGCAGGGTGACATCATTAGAGGTCACCAACTCATTGCGCCTGTTTTAGGCTTATGTAGGCGTTGGGAGTTGCGTACTGCCTGACCGGAATGGTACCCTGCTCATTGACTTGGCCATTGTACTGATCATGTCGCTAATTTGTGCCGGGGATTTTAGCGTGAGATGATAGTGGTGAAGAGGCACCGTATCGGCAAACGACTGCTGCGAAGGCTGGTCTAGCCGATCAAGGAACATGGGAGGAAAGCAGGCTGTGTAGAGATGTAGATCTCGTCCGGCGGTCGCGAGAAGATAAACCTAATAAATATTAGTTCTGTAACTACTTGGATAGACGGGGGAATACCTTTGGGCCCAACGAGTCCTGGGGGGTATGTGTAGATGAATCACTGTCCAACCCACCCGACGTAGGGGGCGTACGGCAGCTATCTGGAACCGCCCCGGCACGCCGCTGCTCCTGCGCCAAAGCAATCAACACGGCCGCAATGTACGGGTCATAGATCTCCTCGATGGGACGTATGCGGTTCAGCTTCTTATGCAGGATTCGCGCCACAGGCCGGCTCGTCAGATGGGGGATCTGATAAGTCACGGATAGGTCGCGTCGCTTGGCGACGGCGTCGAGGTCCAGGAAGGCGAGGCCCGGCGGGGCGTTGGGCGACGGCGCAAATATGCCACCGGTTCGAAGATGGGCTCTTACAGAGCGCTGGGCGAAGCGCAGCTCGAACTTGTCGTGGGTGCTGCGGCGGGCGATTAGCGAAGATCACAGCTTGGTGGAAAACAAAGAGGAGGGAAAGGGGCGCATACCCAGCCTCGGAAAGTCCGTGGCGGTGAAGCATATCCCGCACCAGCACAGTTTTGAACTCTGACCCTACACCGCGCTTCAGATATGCCGCGAGCCTCTCGATAGGCCGAGTCAGTTTGTTATTTACTGCCATCTCCTCTCTCATTTTCCCGACAGCTGCATGGCACCCAGCGATGAATACACATCCTAAGAGATGCAGATGCTCTGCAGTCCAATATAGTGGTCGCACATAGAGACGCTGCCGGGCGTGTTGTCGCAAGATGCCGTTGATTGATGAGAGCTCAAGGGATAGTGGGTGTTTCGCAGGAGCTGCTGGCAGGGCGTCTTGCGCGTCTTGCGCGTCTTCGGCGGCATGTTCATCCCTTTCCTCGAGTACGATGTGGATGCTGTTCGTTGATAAAGGCTGAAACTCCGATGCCGCCGTTATCGTCGCCGTTGCCACCATCGATGTTGTTGTTGCTGTTAATGTCACTGCAACTTGTTCTTTGGTTGCTAATCTGCCTGGGGAGATTGGCGGCGTCCATCAAGGTTGCAGGACGCCACCAGCCACAGAACTAACAATCTCAGCCACATTGTGAGATACGTCGCCCTTGGTCACGCTCTAGGAAGATTCCATGATGGTCAGGAGAATACTACCGCGCCCAAAGGGAATAGTTATGAGGGGAGTGAGAGCGCCCATGGATGCTGACGAACATTGAGTTGCTCCCTCGGTAAGGTACAGAGTTACGGAAGGTTGCAGTGAGTCCAAAAGAGTCCCATTGCGCCAAGCCCAGGCCCCTGCCAATGTGCGAGGTGACATGGGGGAGCAGCGTCTCGGGGGACGTGAGAAGTTAAGTTTCGTTCCAACAATGTAGGACGGCGGTGTGCTGTATTACATTGAACCACACGAAGTGGAGGGGTCTTGTGCCGATGAAAGAGGGCGATGTAAACTGAAGTCCTGCAGTTGTATAAGAGACGCAGCCCTCGTTTGCTCCCCCTCCCCCCTATCGCCCAGTACGACCCGGGGGAAACGCATCTCTCATCGATGTTTTGTGTGTGTATACACCTCGACTGCTCCCTAGCCATGAGAGTCATAGAGGAGCGTGGAACCGGTTATGCCGGGATAAACCGCGGCAGTGGCATAATCGCTCGGGCCAAGATAAACTTACCAGTCGTAAAATTACCAGAGAGGCTCTGGGATGGCCGGCCAGTGAGCAGTCAGTGTGTTGACCGGGACGATCACCGTAACAAGTTCAGCATTGGTTTATTTGTTGATTGGACTATTATATCAGGGGTTATGGCCCGAGAGCATAGGTAGGTATGGCAAACCTCTACCTCGACAGCCTAGCAACCTTTTAAGATGGGAAAATGTGATGGTTGAGGAGCAACCGTAAAGATATTTCCAAAGACAATCTTTTGCAGGGAAAAAAAAAGACACCATTCCGCCATTGGGTGGAAAATTCTGGTAAAAACTCGAACTACCTAGTCTCCAAGGTGGGCCGCTAACAAAGAGGACTCGATTGAGAGTTGCCAGTTCCCATGGAAAGTATTGAGGTCAAGCTGAAAGACTGCCTGCCCGTAGTGCAGTTACCTACAGGAACGGCGATCGGTTTGCACAGCGATCGGTAATCGGCCGAGTGTAACTGGCCTGTGCTTCCCCACAGACCCAACAACCCCACCGTGCAGCAGGCCCAGCTGTGGTTTGCGGGGTGTGCCTTATCGGTGCCGTCTCAGCTCTCCCAACCCCCGTGTTGCAGCTCCGCAGTGAGGTCTCCTGCAGGGATTTTCTGGTCGCTTTCAATGTGCATCACGCTGGCCCAACCAGAACACGGGACGCAAGTCGGTCAGCCGGGCTGAGCCAGCCGTGGGGAACAGTCAACTTCCCTTTCCGGGATGGCATGCCCTGCTTGGCTGGGATCCGCTGCCGATCCGTGCTGCGATAAGGGTCCTCGGACACAAGAGCGCTGCCGGTGACTTCACTGTAGGTGTGACTGAGCCCACGTGCAAAGTTCAACACCAAAACCACCACCATTCAACAACCGTCGAAACTCCCACAAGTACCGCAAAATTGATGGGCCGCGCGACCGAAACCTAACACCCTCGAGCTTAGTTTCTTGCCCGCCTTCCCCAAGTAGAGCCCCGATCCGATATGCAGCGCTTTGTCGCCGCCGTCTCTGAGGCGCCTCACGCGCCCAGAGTCGGTGAGGCGCTTTCCGGCATCTTTGGCAGCGTGAGCTTGACGGCGTGGATATGTCTCTTGGTACGCCGAATGGAATATGCTTATGGATGCGCCAATGGCTAACGGCGCTGTAGCTCTCGCAGCTTATCACCAACTACAAAGCCAAGAGCGCAGAGGCTTATCAATGAAGTTCCTCCTGATCTGGCTTCTGGGTGATATGCCAACCTCTTCGTGAGTAGTCAGTCG